GCAAAGGCTTTTTTGCTTTATCAGGGCTACAGTGGCAGTGGGAACCATTCTCATTGAGTTACAAATACCAGATAACCTAAGAAAAACAGGGAGATTGAAACAGTCATGAAGTTTATATTGAAACTATTTTTTACCTCTGTAGTATGAAGTCACCTACAGCTGTTTCACTCTTCACCTAAGAGAGATTGCATGTTGATGGGCACATATACTCACAGAGAAGTCTATAGCATGAATATATCTCACAAGGCAACAGCCCAGTCTTCGTTTTTTACAATCAAAGTTAATATGGATCTTTTTCAAAAGTGATGTCATTGAGATTGAAGACAATTATAAACTGTATCAACAATATGTACTACAGCCTGCAAGTCACAATCTGTGCACACCAAATGGAATATATTATTGCTTGTTAGCCTATTAGACTTTCTTTATAAAAAGATTTTTATACAGAGTACAGGATTATGACAAAACTAGCTAAGTAGTTTTCATCTTGAAAATACAACATCAATTCTTTCAACAAAGGCTTGAATAGTAGCTGAGAGTTAATGAACGATAACAAATATTTACTAATAATTTTATGGCCAGTTTGAACAGAATTTCTTATAGGACTCTTTTCTGGTGTTTATTTACATATGCCTCTTTTCTTTTGGAAAAAAGTTGATAAAATATAACAAGGAACATAGAAATCAAAAGAATGAGTAAACTTCATACCAAGAACATTAAACATTTTTGAAAACACTGAATTATGTTATCTGTTAAAAAACATACATCATTTTGTCTTTAAAGAAAAATATTTTTCCTGTTTTAAAATATTACCAACAGCATGTAATAAACTAACTTAAAATGAGTTTCATAAAAAAGTTGTCTTGCTGTCTAAACATTACTAAACATGCTTAGGTTGAGATTCTGTTAACTACCTCAACATCTTAAAAATAGCTCCTTTACAGGAACTTGTGATATTCATACTCAGAAGACCTGCAAATTTAGAACAGTACATTGATAAAGGATCCGGTAGCTAGAAACAATAAATATATATTTTCATTCAAAGCAAATAATTCTGCAATGTTCTTTGAAACAATCCATGGTCAAGAAGTGGGGATGTACTTGGCTAAACAATAAAGTCATCTGGCCCTTACTCTGCCCGTGGACACAAACGCCCGCGCGCAGTGCAAAAGGGATGCTCCAGCCTGCCCACGTGGCTTTGGCTGCAGGATGAGGACCCATGGACTGAATTGCAGAGTGAGGACCTTATGTTGGCCCTGTGGCATCCCAGCTGTGTTGGGGCTAAGGGAAAGCAACACCAGGAGACTGGGAAAATATCACATTTTTTGCCTGAACAAACCAGGACTAACCACGGTCACAGCTGCTTTTTGCTCAGACCACAAAGAGAACAAAGCCGCGTGTGAGGCATGGTTTCAGCGCTCTGCTCTCCCTGTGTGCAGGGGATTCCCACTGGGGAGAGATCATTCTGCTCTCAGGGGTGCTCTCAGCATCAGGATTTCTTTGTTTTCCACAGTAATAGTAATGCAGATAACATTTAGGGACCGGCTCTCCATTTTTTTTTTAGCAAGCAATCCTCCCATTACTATTAAAATGTAGTATTTTATGCACAAGAAACAGGGAATCAACCCTGAGCTGGGCAGATATTTCTCTCTCCTCAATCTCATCCCTCATCATTGCTCACAGACCAAAAATACTACGATGTCTTTTTTGTTTTTAAGTCTCCTGCTCTTCCTCTCTCTCCCCCTCCCTGACCATAACTAACAGCTAGACTCAGACACAGGAAAAAGCTCAGTCAGGACTTGCAAAGGGAACCAAAGTTTAGTTTTCAGCTGCTCATCACTCTAGCAAACTGCTAATTTTTACACGACCACACTGGTAATCCCAACTGTCATATCACATCACCTTAGACAGAAACTGGCAAGTCAAATTTTTTGGGGAAAAAAAAAAGGTTAGGCTTTATAAAAATAAGCTATTCCAAGCCTGAGACTTGCCTTGGATGCTATACTGGGAGTCTTTAAATTGACAGATAACTAGACGACTTCTTTTTTAACTATAATACACCACGGTCAGCGCAGAAATCACGGGCATGAATGAAGCAAGAATTTAGACTGTAGGGTACCGTGCAACTCTCCTGGCCTCACTCTGCATCCCGTGGGCACTCTCAGAAGGGCTCCTGTGAGTCTGCTTCACGAAGGACGATCATCTGCACTTGCCAGTTCATGTGACTTTGCTGTGAGTGGCAGCCAGGGGTTGCAACGTTCGCTTACTGGGGAGAAACAGGACTTGGAAGTGAGTAGAAACAAAAGCGAGAACCACTGGACTACAATCAACCATGTAAAAAATGCAGAAGAAAACAGGACAGAGCAGACTTAAAACTGCCTCCAAATTTCAGAATCTGAGACGTTAACATAAATAACACAAGTAGAAGTGTAACTTTTTTTTTTTTTTTACCCTGACAGTGACCTTTTAGCACGATTAAAAACATACGGAAGATAGTCCTCAGTGTTAAGCAGTCCTATTGTAACTAAACTGATCATCATTGAGCTTGCAGAGCTTTTGGAGGGGTAGGATATAGAGACACGTCGCATTTGCCAGGCATACAGGAACTGAGCTTTTCAACAGACAGTCATTAAACAAAGTTTTCTGGGGGAATATTTTTGGCATATATAGTCTCCTACTCCCCATTAAAGACTGCAAAAATGTTGCATTCATCCTATTGGACACAGGAAAACCATGATTAACTAGCTATTACTGGTAGATGATGTCCAAACTAAGTACCAATATAAAGTTTTCGGCATAACTTAAGACAGAAGCCCTGTTACTCAGCTGCCAGGTCTGGCATGTACCTGGAGCTCCCCACAGTCCTTTTAAAGACATAGTTATTAAAAGATTCAGTGCTACAAACCACTAAATCTACCTAACCTATTCTAGTTCATACACATATTGTACAATATTGCCTAGTACTCACTACATACCAAGAGGAAAAGATGCTGACTTGGAATTACAGTAAATGTGCTTTTTTTAAAAAATAAAAGTCAGAGCCACAACATAGTTTGACCAGCATGCAACAAACTTTCTTCAGCTAATATATAGAAATTGTCTAATACAATTAGAAAAAATAATTAGTGAGAGGCCAGAGACGTATTTGATCAAGGAAATTAAGAGATTTATCTGAAATGTTGAGGCTTTTGCCACTGAAGACTCAAAAAACTATTCATTCTATGTCCCTTATCCTCCTTCCCTCTCCTTTATATTATATGGTGTTTACAGAGATTATTGTAAGGCCTATTATTTTTGCATCTATCCTGTAATTTATCTCAAAATAATTTAAAATGCCATAGACAAGCTAGGACCAAAAACAACTGCTTTTACCATCCACTCAACACTCATGCTTTTATTCTAACAAAGCTGAGGTCCACATGCAGAAATAAATGTTCAGTATGTCTCTTCGACAGGTCAAGAATCTGCTCATTCCTACACGTGACATGGGACCTTCACTTTTAAATCACAAAGTAAAACATCTCCAAAAGCTTATTCTGAGACAGCAATCATCAAATCCTTATTAGAAACTAAGACAAAACCTAGCCAAAACAGGTCTACCAACAGAAAATCTTTGGAGATTCTCTGTGATTTTGGATAATAAGTTTTTAATTGTCTGAAGTATCTAGCGCACTTACTCCAGCACGTGACTCTGCTGACAACAGCTGCTGTAGCTCAGCAGCTCAGAGAACGTGCTTTACTGGCTTAATCTACAAGACTCATTTACAGTTAGTGATGCACTTTAACAAAATATACATGCTGTGACCACTGCGTCTTCATATTCCTCACCCACCACCCCTCCATACTTTGGGGATTGCATCTCCTCTTTCAGGATACTTGACAATGTTTGTGTACTACTGAGACTGCCTAAAGCACCTTTCTCTCCACAAGGAAGGTTACATGCTCTCCAGCACCTTCTTGTCAGATGACAAACTGAGGTTTCTTTCTTCTGTACCCCAGAAACCTCAATCTCCTCTCCCGTGGCAGAATAAAACAGTCCTGTTTCAGGTCAGTCCATAGCACAACAGGAGGGGCAGCATCTCCAGCAGATATGTACCAGTACAAAGGAGATGGAAGAAAAGCAGGAGATAGAAGACATCGTGACTGAAGGACGCACAGCAACAAGTAAGGGAGTCAGTAAATTGCAGAACGTTGTATCTGACAATTCAAAACATATCTCAGGCTGCAAGTCTGATGTTCAGCTCCCGCTCTGGTCCTTTTTTTCTAAGCAAAATTGCAGTTAATTAGCCTGCTAAACTCGAACTCTGTTCAAACTGTCTGGTCTAAGTAGGTGCTACTTATTCTCCCACCAAGTATGCTTCATCAGCAGTGTTAGACAAGTAATGCAGTAAAGACACTTGCTGGTAATTTGGCACAGTTTGAAAACACAGCGACAACAGTGTTACAGTTAACATGACTCAGTGATGTGGAACTGATTCTAAAGAGAGTTGCAGGTTTCTTTCTTTTTCTTCCTTTCAAGAAGAAAGACCTCATAAAAAACCTAATGCTTCCTCTGAACCTTTCTGCTCCTGCTCTTTTTAGGTCAGATATCAGCCTCTGAATTTTTCAAGTACTTTCTCATGAATCCGTATTAGAAATTTCTAAGACGCACAGTTAAGAAAAATACCTTCCTTACTCCCCGCTAATGCTTTCAAATGCTGCAACTTTCCAGGGTTAATACTGATCTGAAACAAGGGTCCAAGAATGACAGCGAGAGAAGTGAAACAAGAGGTGTACGTCTAATTTGACAACTAGGACTCATGCCCCACGGCACCTCCTCCTCGGACGGGGAGGGCACAGCGCCCTCCCCCTCGTCTTCTGTCTAAGGTCACTGGTTTATCCTCCTCTTCCAGCTCCACAAGAACTGATTGAACATGCATTGCGCTTGAGGTCAGAGTTCCAGCAAACAAAACCTTGACAGCATGTTTAAAAAACAAAAGCAGTTCCCCCTTCCTTACTCACTAAGACCTGTCACAGCAGGGTCCCACTGTGCTCTCCAGGGAAAGCTGTGAGGACTGACGCAGGAGCGGGCCTGTAGTGGGATCTACCATCGAGGAGGTTGGGAAGAGCTTGTACCAGCCAATTGCTAAAGTTGACAAATCCAGTTCTTCCAGAAGGACTCTGGCGACTCCCATGAAGTGCTTGCGCTCCATGCGTCCATAGTTTCCCCAGACTATCACCTTAGGAACAAGAGCGGGGAGCACAGTTAATCCTCCAACTTGCACACTTGCTTGGGAAGCACAAGTCTGATCAATCCTTCCTTCTACTCATCCAACTTCCCGGGGCTTTACTACAGTCCGAGAAGAGCAGAAAGGTTTACACTACCAACAGGTGACATGAAGCTCTGCCTGATGATCTTGCATTTTTTTTCAAGCACAGTTTTACAAATCCTAATGTCATCAGATTTTCCCGCCCGCCTCCCCCCATGGAAAAGAGGTGAATGCGCGTGTGGATGAGACACCATCCCTGGAGCTGCAGCTCCAACACCTGCATGTAAAACCTGGTCCTGGCACAGTAATGGGCCTTGGACACAACAAAAGGTGGCCTGTGGGAAAAGGGCAGGAAGGGCTCCTGATCTGGAAAAATACACCGACAAAAAACAAGGTGGGCGATAGCTTGGGTCAAGAGCCAACATTTTGAGGAAAAGAGCATGTCTTAACTTCCGCACTCGGAGCTCGTGACACAGGGCAGATGGTGACGAGGCACGGCTACTCACCTGGAGAAAGGGCAGGAGCTGAGTGCTGGCAAGCGGGACCGGTGACGTAAGGGGCGCACATGGAGTGGCATGCAGGGGAAGCAGAACAGACTGCCGAGAAAGGCTTGCAGGCGCAGAGGAAGGTCTAATGAAAGTAAGCTGGCAGACGAGCAGGGAAAGCTGAATCACACTTACAACACGATGGAGACCAGGGGGTAGAACAACAGATGTAGTGAGGGTCATGGGCTTAGGCATGCTGGAGGTCTGCACATGACCAAGAGGGCCTACGTGGCTCAAGACAAAGGTGACGACTGACTCCAGAGCGAGTCCATGTTCTGAAGAGGAGAGGATGAGTACGATGAGTTATGATGTGACTATCCGAATAACCGGAACATTACAATTTTCTGTAAAATGAGGTAGGAGACAACGAATGTCAATTAAAAGACAAAAATTAACACTCTAGGTCAGCACGAGATGGAGCAAGCCACTGCAGAAAGTTGGTTTGGTGGCAAGGCCACTGGCAGAGAGCCAAGCTCCTCATCTTATTTTCTTGGAATAAGTGTTTTTCCTGGCAGCAAGGCAGCAGGTAAGGAAACCAATGCAAGGCAAGAGCAGACCAAGCCAGGTCCCACCCGTTTTCAGTCAAAAATGTGCAGTCTTGTTCCAACAGAGGAAAATTCTTCTAATCAAGGTAAACGAGGAAGAGTTCACTAATGAGAAGGATCCAGCAGGTTAGCTGGCAATTCATATGCCAGTGGAGGTAAGCAATAGACACTCACGGATTAATTACATCAGTATTACCAGTGGATTTTAGCCAGGCTTTACTGGATGGCAATGATTTAGGTATGAATTAACAATGCAAATCACTCTCTCCTCTGGAAACGTTGGTGCAGAATTGAAAATATGAGTATGGCAGAAAATGTATGGCAGTAAAAGAAAAGAGGTAGGAAAAGGTAGGATATGTGATTGGGTGATGGCCAAAGCAGAGTGCTCTGAATACATATAACCTATGCTGCAAGATTGTTTAGCATCTATAGGTACTACCTGTCTCCTAACTGGGCGGGAAAAAAAGAATTAAAAAAATAAAAATCCACCTTTTCCTGGTAGGCACACGTTACCTGACAGGGTGTCAAATAATAATCAGTTTGAGTATGAAAAAAAGGTCTTCCTTTCCATTTGTTACGTTCAGATCGAGTGCATTTGGTTCAATGAAAACACTGGCTTTTTCTCGTCTATATTAATTATCTAGGTCCCTTGCCAGACTATCTTCCAGCAGAGGTGGAAAAGAGAGATGGGTGGACCTGAGACTTGCTTGTCTTACCTGTAATACTTTGCCCTGGGGGCTTTCAGCAAACAGTAACACCTGATTGTACAAAGGGTCTAATGATTTGCGAGCCACTTTTGTCTTCTTTTTTGCAATGCACACGCCATTCTCTAGCAGGTAAGCTTTGATGTAAGCAGCTGGAAAAAATAAATATGGTCAAATATGAAAAAATCTTCATGCTTACTTTAGAAAAGACAGAGTGCCATCTCTCAGGTACTTCTAAAGAAGGCATTTACAGCAGTGAAAAGATTTGCTCAACCAGCCTTATTTTCAATACCACATACAGTCTGCTTATTCCTGCAGAAGCCAAGCAGAATTAAAATTTTTCCTATTCACAAGCATCATAGGAGGCTGGGGCTCAGTGAATTACTTTAGGAGGTCAAAGCATACTACCTGGCAGTGTTTTGGAGCCGGGTTTTGGTGTCAGTCCTCGAGCCTGAATGATATCCACTTCCAGCTGCCCATTTCGCTCTTGCAAGCCAATTTCCACATCCCCTAAACCAAAGTGTCAAAATAGACAGAAGACTTTCAAAACAATACATCTGTGGGCTACTAAAATATTAAAAAAAAACCCCAATCTTCATGTCACGCCTGCTATAAGCTGTAACAAACTGTAGGCCCCAAGTGCCTGATCTCCTCCTGCGTTACTCCGGAGCAGTTCTGCAGTGATTCAAGCCCACGTTTTCAAAAGCAATCTCTAATGTCAGCCCTCTACCATGGCTTTAGTGACTCAGTCTCATGCTCTTCAGTGGCAGCTAGCCTCTCATCTCTCCCAGACTGAAGCGTCTAGAATTGCAGGCTGCTTTGGAAAATGCAATTATGGTGGACCATAAGAAAATCTTTACAGGGCCTTAGAGAGAAAAAAACCTATGAAGATACACAGGATGCATTTTCAGGATTTTAACTGTGTTTTACTTAGTCTATGCCTTTCAGATCTGACGGAGGAAAGCAAAAAGCTGGTGCTCTCCTAGTAATACCGCATTCACAGCCATCAGCAAAACCTTTCAGCCAAACTTACTCGATGTAACAGAGAAACGGAGCAGGGGAGTGGTAGATCAGCAAATGCTGGAGACATTATTAGGTGGCTTGTAGCAGCGGTCTGTTCAAAATTAAATTAAAGCCACCTAACATCTTTGTGTTCCTTACCCATTGAGGTGGTGGCCAAGGTCTGACGCCCAACAAATTGTGCAGGGCCCATGCTGCCCAGGAAGTCACTAAACTGCCCAGCAGATGCCAGATGGACTCCACTGAAATTCAAGCTGCAAAAGAAATTGATGTTGGCAAGTGGTTAATTTGCATTTTAAAGCAACCCAGTAACTAAAGAACCAGATTTAATATATCTTCGAAATTAATGACATCTACAGAAGGTAGGGGGGTTGGACTAGCTGACCTTTAAAGGTCCCTTCCAACCCGAAATATTCTACAATTCTAAGCCTTTTTCCCTTGCAAAACTCGCTGATTTCCAGGCAGTTTAGTTACATGGAATCCATTTAAAATCCCTTTCCTCATACAAAAAAACCCCAATCCTGTAATGGTTGCAGTCATCAGTTGGTTAATACTTGTTTATCTATAACTAATTGTCTGTAAGGGAAAATCTCTGCCATCTCAGGTTCATATGCAGCCTGTCAATTCTTCTAGGCAGCATTATAATCTAAGAAGCTTCCTGGCATATCTTACAGGATCTCTCTTGTTATCTGTCCCTTCCCAATCCTCATTTCTAGGGAGGAAATAATGCATCTAGAGCAGTGGTTAGAAGTGAGATGAGGAGTCCTGGCATCCATTGAGTCCCTTGGGACTCAATTCCCTATTTATTTCTCACACACGCACAGAGCAATGGATCTCCTTCTTGACCAGAGGACCCCATTTCCTACTGCTCAACACCAGAAACACCCATCACATCCACCGTGTGGTTTTCATACCTGCTTTCACGACCCAGCCTGAAGCGATCACGAAGAGGAACTGGTGCAAGGCTAAAGGGTCAACACCCTCAAACACCAGTAATGCCTCTGCCGCAGTCACTGCTGCAAGACAAAACCTGTCAGGGGGACACAAACCCCAAATCTATTCACCAGGCACCTAAGGCTGGTCTATGGCATGGCTACAGCTGCTGGTCACTGCACTGGGAATGGATGAGGCAACGCAAAAGGGTCAAACTCTGTGGTACACTGATACAAACCAAGGTTTACTCAGTTGTACCCTGATTTACGCAGCTGTATCACAGATTGTGGGAAAACTTGCTGCCCCACTTGCTGCGAATGGTTAAGGAGGAGGCTTGAGGCCATCATTCGACACTGACTGTTGTCCTACAGGCATCTGCCAAACTGAAACACAGCAGCTGAAACACGTCAGGAGCTTTGTGCCAGGGCACCCACGCTGCCGCACTGGGCTTTGCACTCTGCCTCCGGAGAAGCTGCTGCACACTGAAGTCAGGCACAATTACGAACCTCCTGCATTTTTCCAAAGGTCCTTAGCAGGGGACAATTTCCCACGTCATGACACAGCTCCCTGCTGCCCCAAATTCGTTTCTTAGAAAGGATGCCGTGAGGAGGCTGCATATTCAGTACAAGCGAAGCCGGAAAGGAACCCTGCCTGCGGGGCGGGCTGAGGACCGCAGGCTCTCACGCAGCCTGAGTCAGCCACAAAGATTCATTGATTCCCCCCTGCAAACCAGTTACATTTAAAAGACATTAAAAAAAAGGAATTTTTTTTAAACCCTATTCAGCCAGAAGGGTGTTAATTTCAGGTTGGGATTTCAGCTCTCATTAGCTATTTGCAGACCTAGTCTCAGCCCCATGGGAATATTTATTTATCCATATGAGGAATGAGGAAGCCAGCACACACACTTCAGCATCTTGCCATGCAGGGGACTGAAGAGGATGTGTCACTAGCACATGTCCTCATGACTGGTTCACGGGCTGGTTCAGCCCACTGTGACGGGGCACTGAATTAAATGGCCAGACTTTTCCATGGAGCACTGCACCTCCCCTCTGTGCTGACCCGGCTCTTTGAGAAACCCTGTTATCACTGTTACACAGGGAGCTGCTGAGCCTTCAGCATGGAAAAACCTGCCCTTGAGCTCTTTACAAATGTCACCTTTGTGAAAAGGGACGAGGGAGGAGGCTGCCTTGGCATCCTTGAAGACAGGCTTGGGAGAGGCTCCGCACTGGGTGGATTTTCCCTGGTTTGGTGTTTTCTCACCCTGCATCCACTGTTTGCACAAACACTCCAGGTGATATTTTGAGATACAACAGAAACAGTGCGATTTATAATTGGCTTTAATTGCAGAGAAGGCTTAAGTTTCTTCTCGGTTTTCAGCGTCACTGACTCCTCAGATGCGCAAGGCACATCCCCAGTGCCACCGTCCATCCGGGGGCAGAGGCAGTGAGGGGCCGCTCTCTGCTCCCTGTGGGTGCACAACTCCTGCCCATCACCCAGCTGGCATCTGCTGGCCCCGATGGGGCAGACCTCTCCGGGGAGCAGCACCCTGAGCACAGGACCAGGGCAGAGACGCTGGATGTGTAGCAAGGCTGCCGAGGACAGACTGTGCACAGTCAGAGACATCCCCAGGGCTGGTAAATCTGCAGGGATAGGGACATGTGATGGGGAAAGCAGGGGAAGGGGGAGCCCGGAGCCAGACGGGCTTTATCAGGCTCATGATATGCCCATACAAGGAGGGAAGAAGTGAGTCCTGGTGCACACAAGGACCAGCGAGACTCCTCGAGCCTGCTGGCTCAGGCATTTTGAGCTGCCCATAGAGACTCAAAAAAGGATGAAAACTAGTGCTTAGAGGACCCAAAATAGTTCCAGAAAAAGGAGACCTGACAGAGAAAGATTGCAGGAGATGAATGGACCATCAGCCAGAAGGTAAATGTTTTCTTTATTTCTTCAACTCGAGGAAGATAAATGGGCCGAGCTCGGGTCTCACTCCTACCCTGGGGAGTATGTGACCCGAACGAGCACGTAAATAAAAAGCTGGCAAGACAACTCACAGCCATTCAGGGAAATGTTCACTGCTATGCTCAAAACAGATGCTTGTGCTCATTAACAAGATGCCTGGGACCGGGACAGAGGAGCGGAAACCCAGGACTGAGCGAAGCCTAGCACTGCGAGAGCCTGCAGCACACCCAGAACCAGGTCTTGGAGCGATCCCCCTCCGGGGTGAAGTCCGGACACATTACTGCAGTGGGGACACAAAGCTGGGAGAAGACCACCGACAGAAAGTCCACTTGCTGCAGGACAGCAAAGAAGAGAGACCCTTCTGGCCCCTGAATACTCAAAATAATTCATGAAACCTGCCATAGGAAACCATTTCCCCTTACCTGCTGGGGAGAGAATCATGTCAAAGTAATTCGTCTGTGCTGGAGAGACACCACCCGTGCTCTCACACACCAGCTCACCCCTCCTTTGGGCAACACTGCTAGCAAAGGCTCTGCCCAGCAGCTGGGGCAGCTCAGGAGAAAATAAAAGCACCTGCTAATGGAGCAGCCGATGCTGCAGCCTACATCAATGATATCGAGCAAAATAGCAGGAGAGCATGAAGAACAGCGTTAAAAAGCACAAGAACAAGAGCTGTTGGGCTAAAGGTGAACCAACGGCAACCAGAAGTGTTTACAGCAAAGCAAACATTGCTGTTATCTCCACACAGATTCAGAAGTCAGAGGGCTCGGGACAACCTCGAAACAATACATGCTCCTCAGTGCAAATTACCACGAGAGGGCAGGACGTTGCTGCAGGGACACCAGGGTTGGGCCATAAGCATGGACCCTTGCAAGGAGATCAGTGGAGCTGCTGCTCGAATGAAGCTGCTGCTGCTTTGTAGCACCAAGGCTGATCTTGAGAGGAACGGCAAAAGCCCACTTCTTAAAAACACAGGCCAAGGTCAAGACTCCTGCAATTTGGATAACAGCCTCAGTTAATAGGTTTACTAGCACTATATGAAACCCAATATTAGGTTAGACAGTTAATGTTCCCCTTTGTTGTTATATTTGACTGGAAAGGAAAGACATAGGGAATTAATTCTTTAACAGATTATGCCATTAGCTGGTGGGACTCGCTGCTACGTTGCACAGAGGCTGACCTTTTGCAGTGCTGCTTTATTAGACATTAGAAGCAGCAGCTCTAAATCAGGCTCCTTGGCTTTGACCGATTCCTGGACATATATTTGGGTATCGCCAATAACCCTGGAATGGAAACAATTTCTGTCTGGAAAAATCATAAGCTACCTCCAAGAAAGCCATTGCTTCTCCCTTGAGAGGAGAGGGAAGGGGAAAATAAAACTGCAGAAATCTAGTATGAATGTGAATTAAAACCAGCAGGAACCATTTAGCTGCATCGGCTAAATTTAGGATGCTCAAATCCAGCTCAGTGAGCTCTGTCTGTCAAGTGCTTGGAGAGAAGCTGGGATGCCGAAGTGAGGGGGCTGCGTATGGTGTGATTCTGAGATTGGTGGGACAGACCTTCCCCATTCACTCACTTGCTTTTCCTGCAGCTGAAGCAGGGAGGAAAAGAGCTCCAGGGACCACCATGACTTCTTTCAGGTCTTTAAATGCAGCCCTGGTGCTCCCAAGAGCCCTCCCCTGCCACTCTGCCGCATGCTGCGCGCTCAGCAGACTTTTCCTGCCTGACCTCTGAAGAAACCGAGCCGTTTCTCACCTGCCCTTGACTCAGCAACCAGCTCTCCAGCTGAACCACCACATGCTGGATATGCTGGCAGGGAGACGTGGTCCTGAAGGGATCTGCCGGAGGTGACAGTGGCAACTCCATCTTGGGTGACAGCCAGCAGATGGGTTTCACATGCACTGGAGTGACCCTGGAAAGCCCTTCCTCTCCTATTGCCAAACATGCATCTCCCTTAAGGGGAGAAATTGCTACAACCTGGTTATCACCAATACGAGATGTCTTTTGTTTTATTGCAATCTAAAAAGAAGTGCTAAAAATAGCTGGAGGAATAAAGTGGGAGCATTTTGCAGCTGACTTGCAAATAGCAACTGTCATAACCAGCAGTGCCCTGGGGACCGGGGCTGCGGCAGGACCATCTTGTGCTGACAACCAGCCGCACACAGAGAAGATTAACAGGTGACACTTGTCAGCCTTTTGTCTAAAGGTCACAAATCCTCCACTGAGCGAGGGCAGCACAGCCTTTTGAACAGGAAAGAGAAATTAATTATCTCTTCTCTGGCCCTCTGCTTTCACTAATCATGATTCATGGATTCTGCTTTGCCACAGCTGAATGAGAATGATTTTAATGAAGTTAAAAGTT